AAAATTAGGGGGAGGGGGGAGCCAAAGTATATGTGGAATGGGCACTGAGGCATCCTAAAACACAGACCATAACAGAGGGAAAGGCACACTACAGTTTAATAAATGATTAATGAGGTGCTGACACATTAATGTAAGCACAGGGACAACCAGGCCTGCCAAATCTCAAACCTTTCCAAATTTTGTCAACAAAACACAGTTTTAATTTGGGACAGGCAAACATGGAAAATGATTTTGAGCTTTAGCCCTTCATAGATTTTGAATTTAAATCCTGTATCAACACCAGGGGAGACAGAGGTATGAAAGAAACACATCAGTTTACAACTTTCTTCAATGAAGTTGGCACTATCAACTGCATTAACGTATCATGGCTCTGTGAATTATTCTGCCTGCCATTAAATAGTTCAGTTTGTGAATACTTTGGATCTTAGTTTAAAAAAAAAATATTCAGAGACCAGGAGCCTGGAGATCAAGCTATTTATCCACGTTTAGCACTCAGCCTGTTTATTTGTTGTAGTACCTCACCTAATATATCAAAATTAAGCATTGCAGGACTCCTCATTTTTAACCACAGCCCATTAAGCTTTGCTAACTGATTAAGACATAGCATGTTTCTTGTGCTTTTAATTTTCTCCGATGTATGGTGAGGGATCTGCTATTTTTGCGATGTCCCCAACATCCAATTGCAAAGGCAGAGAAAATCTGATTAAGATGATTTCCAGGTTTGAAGTATGTCATTAGTGTTAAACCTGTAACTCCCACGTTTGCTGCTCTTTGAAAGCTATGCAGAAACGGCTTGAGCAACATCTTTATTTTCATCACCACTTAGTGACCTCTTCCTACAACGTGTTGACTTTATTCTAGTAACTAAAAATCTCTCTCGATTTAACAAGACACTTAAAATGTGCCTAACTTAAAGCACATAAGTACAATACATTCAGTAATTTTGCTCACATGCTTGAGGACAGGCCGGGCGCTTAATTATCTTGTTGAATTGGGCCACAGCTCTCATTGCTATTTTTCAGCCTTTTTTTTTTTTTCTCCCTTCTCTGGGGATGGAGCCTTGCATGTCCAAATTCCATTATCTGGGATTCATGAGGCATCATCTCTGTCTCTTATGCAAATTTGCAATAAGACACAAGTGGCTTCAATTCAAACATGAGTGGCAGCGTCCCATGGAGGCAAACTAGCAGCCTAGGCTGAGGAAGAGGTTGTGGTAACAGAATCAAACAGCATGGCAATTTCTAAGTGACTTTCAAGGTTTTCATAATAAATGAATGTTTGGGGTTTTATGCAGTGACTCAGTCTGAAAAGTTTCCTCTAAATTAAAACTTGACATGTGTCAGTTTGCAAGCAGTTGTGCTAAAACAAGAACAACAAGATAACTAGGGCACCTGGGTTTCATTAATTACAATAACATACAAAACTGTTTAGGTTGTATGAATGAGTTTGTAATGCTGAAAAAGAAAATCTGAGCAGAGTTCATCCACGATACCATCTACTTATTATTATTATTATTATTATTACCACCACCACCGCTAATTGGGGCACTACAGCCCATCCTACCAAGACTGGTGACTTATTGTGATGAAGAATGCAAAACCAGGCTGAGCATCTGCTTCATGGTGTTTCTGGAATAAAAAGGCGAGGTTGGCCAAAGGTGACAATACGTGATATCACCAAATGTTTTGTGCAATTGGGCTGATGAAACACAGAGAGGCGAAATTATTTTAAGGACAAGCAGGGTGTCTGTAGCATAGCTGAACACTCAACTCAACTGTCTTGAGTCCCTGCATAGTACTTGACTTCTCCTCTCTGACTGTCTCCTTCTGCTAATAGAGACACAACTAACACAGCCAGGGCCAGCACTGCTCCAGCACACACTTTTGCTGGCACTTGACACCGCTCCAGTTGTCACATGCCTGGACATCTCAGACATGCAGAGAAATGTTTTTCCTTCCAGGCCCACAACTGCTTTTATGTTAGGCTTATCACACTACTACATTTGTACGCAAAGTTCAGGATAAAACTTCCTAATTCATTTCTATATATGAGTCGGAATGAAGTTTCACACACAGATCGCCTGTATCAACACATACTCTGCCTTTTCCCTGTACTTTCTTATACCTTATGATAATCAGACAATCCCCTGCTGCAGGAAAAAAAACGAAAACTACTAAGAAAGGAAATTTTCTGCAGGGCCGGTCCTTAGGTAGTGCAAGACTCATGTCCCCGGCCCTTCACTATTTGTCCCACCAAAACCATACTCTGCGTTCTAATAACTCCTAGCAACTTCTGGGGACTGATGAATGAGAGACCATGGCCAAAAGATGGACAAATCTCTGGGCAGCTTAACAGTCCAGAACAGATAGGGGAATGAAGTAAAGGGAGGGAAAGTCTCCATTTTTTTGTGTAAAAAGAGCATGCTACTATTTAAAAAGTGTCTGTTTTTTAACTAGAACTTTGACATAACTATTAGAGACCTTGTAAGTCACTGGCAATATTTCAAAGGTAGCTGAGAGCAAACCCTCCACTGACTTCACAGGGGCCCAGATTTCACTTGTTTCCTATATAACATTGTCTCAAACATCGAGGTGCATCATATTATTGAGATACTACATGTATGTTTGGTCCTTTTCACCCTAAGAAATGATAAATGAAGCCTGGACTCTGTAGAGTCCAGAGGCTGGTTTATTTTAAGAAGTCTATTGATAAAAGAGCAACAAGTTCAAAATTAAAAAAAAAAAAAGAAAATAAAAGAAACAAAATCAGCTATTGTAAAACAATAAGCCTGGGCACTTAACAGAATGCTGCAAGCTTCAATACCACCCTGTATTATAGTATGAGTGGTTCACTCGGCTGAAAGTGATTAATTTCTTGAAAATGCTAAGGTCACACTAATTGACATGACCTGTGTAATTAAGCAGTCTCTGTTTACACACGGAAAGCTCAACTGCTGTGAAGCTGGGTTTGTATGACAGAATGTCTTTACAAGTCAAGAGATCAACAACCTTTCCTATGTCCTACCTACCCGCCGACACAGGCTCCTGATTGCTGTTCTGAGAGAACACGCAAAGGCATTACCATATGAAAATCAGCCTCGAGCCTGGATGAGCACAAACCCAGCAGAGTGTACATGTTGTGAAGCAAGCTCTGACAGGCCCCAGGGGTGACTGCTTGGCCTAAATCCCTCTGCTGGTGAGAGTCCTTTTTCCACTTTCTCCTTCAGTGATAATGCCCTCTTGAATCACAGGAGAAACGTGACAGAGGGAGGAGTGTGGGGTGAGAAGCTGAGGGCTCTGCCATGCTAATGCTAGCTCTTATACTGATTAATTTAATCCCTGTGGCCACATCTCCTCACTTCTGCACTGCTATGATCAGAGGGGCAAATAACACCCTTCTGCTTTCCAGCGTTGTTGCAATTAAGCAGTTCAACAAAAGACATATGCTCTACATATAAATAATATTGCCATTTACATAGTGTTTAGCACTTGTATTTAAGTGCGACAATGCTGGAAAAGAAGCAAACAAGGTCCTGAGCTACTGCAGAAAGAAGCTGTCTTTTGGAGTTGTCTTCCTCCAGAGACCCATGTAGTCTATGGGACAAATCTCCTGTTTCTTCCTCAGAACCCTGAGGCAAATCCCCACTGACAAACTCGATCATGTTTTCTCCCTGGGCCATATACACTCCTCCCATCAAAAGAGAAGGTCCTTTGGCTCTCTACCCCATATTTTTATTCAGCACATACTCAGGTAAAGCATTACTGGCACAGTCAAAGGACCACGTCTTCAATAAAGGGCTTGGAGCAACTATTTCTCAGCATTGCCACCACACCATTCTGCCGCCAGCACTGGGGAAGGCAAGTGCAGACCATCTTCCCAAGGGACAGTGCTGTACTTAATCCCAAAAGTAGTTGTGGACATAGGTGTAGCATAACAAAAATGTCCTTAGCCATCTGAAACTGTTGATACTACAGTTCCCAAGCTCCACTGCCACATGCTGCAACAGCGGGGAAATACCAGCCCAAAACATCCTAAGAAAGATACACCCAATGGTAGTTTTTTCCAAGTGCTGAATACAGGGATGGACCTTCACCCCATTGATGCACATTCATGAGTCTTTAACGCTGCTGAAGAATAACTGCTGAAGTGTAGTGACGAGCCTGATTTTCTTAATTGTTCTTAAACCCTCCTCTGCCCTTTCCAATAAAAATGGTGCTCACTTAGCGTTTACATGAAGGCAAACAGTTCCCCAGGCAGAAGGGAATATCTCAGAGCGGGGTAGCCCCATAACCTAAAACAACAGTGAGGTCATTTTGATTTTTCCTTTTCATGCTTTCACTTCCCGTGGAGATGACATTATCTTCAAGAGTTTTCTTGTCCAGAGCAAGAAAACCCAAATACTTCCTGTCGATTCTGCTGTGACAAGAAGTCCTCAGGCAATATTCTGTGACCTTATGTTTTTAGCATCTTCCAATGAATTACTAGGTTAGTTTGGGTCAAAGTACTTCTGTCCCTAACAGCTGCTGATTTTTAAAGGAGGAAGCATGCCCGACTGACCTGGAATCGACGCATGTCTCGAGGGTTTCCTGCATTTTTTAGGCAATTTTGGTTACATTTGAGGAAAAATTTCAAGAAGAACCTGTGGAGAAAGAGAAACGGACATTAACATCTTATAAACAGTCCGTAGTAGTACTATGTAACATCTGCACATTTGGTCCAACAAAGCCTTATTTACATTAGTATTCCCAACTCAGACAAATCATCCCACTGACAATCCAAAGAGGGAGCAGAGCTTGCATGGGCCCCCATCCAGCAAAACGTGTAAGCACGTCCTAAACATTTAAGCATTAAATTAATAGATCTGCTGTGTCAGAGCCATTAAAGTTTGCAGTCAGTTCCTCTATCATGCTAAATGGCCAGCCTCGTTGTGCCATCCATAGCAGCAAGGAAGTAAGAGACACATATTTCAGCACAGCAAAGAGAGGACAAAAAAATGCCAGCCAAGAAAATTCCCTTATGTATAAACGGGGTTTTGTTTTACAAGTTCACGCTCATGTGCAACTTTTGATTTAATACAAAAATACAGAAAATGTTCCATACAGTTGAAATCTCCCTTCCGCAATTAAACCCAGTTTGTGCATAAAATTAACGCTCAAATAGTGGTTAGTGGGAGACCAAAACCCTGAGAGGAGAAGGGGGGAAGTCCTGGTTAAAAGACTGACTTCATGGAAAAATGAAATATTTTCAATGCAGTCTATTTCCTGACCATACACAGTTCACTGAAGTAGCTATATGACCCTGACATATATCTCTAAGAAAAGACATTGCATTTTACAAAGCCAAAGAAAAAAGCAAACATTTCACTGAAAATATTTCCTTCAGCGTTATGCATCAGTGGACTGTAAACTCATAAAGACAAGACAATGAATAATAGTTGGTCTCAGATTCCAGGCTTCCTCCCTGAGAGCCAAAGTTTATCAAACTTTTGTCCAAAATAAACTACAGACTAAGGTCTACTAAAGCTCAACCGTGCAAAATTTAATCCTACAGCAAGTTTAAAACCTAGCACAACCGGACAGAGCAGCATTACACTTGCAATAACCAGCAGTTGACTAAGCAGAAGCTAATCTGACCTGCCTCCATATACAAAAGCGGGAAGGGGAATTGTTTGATCCTGTTTTACTTTAAATCAGAAAGTTAACTTTTCCAAGCATCCATCTTTTAGCACCCAAACTGAACGCTAGGTCAGCAGAATTTGCACACACTGCCACCAAGAAAGGCAAAACTGCAGGGTAAACAGCTTCAGAAAATCCCTTTTTGATGAGCAGCATTCTTTGCCCTGCTCTAGTTGTGATGCCACCCCTCAACAAGGCAAGTTTTGGTGCTTGTTCTTCCATGCCAAGAAAATCATACTAGGCAAATGGCTGCAAGGACAAATTGAAACTACAAGGGACTGTTTTCATTAAAGAAAAGTAAGGTAATGAGGAGGATTATATGATGTGATGCTTGGGATTATCAAGGACTGGATCTCCTGACCCAGGAAGTCCCTTCTAGACCTGTGCTCCTAAATAAGAGCAAGCAATCAACATAAAATAAACAGCCGCCACACTTGAACAGGGGTTTGGAGACACTGTTTGTTTACACTAAAATAAAGACCAGTGTAAGCCATTACGTTTTCTCATCAAACAGGTTCTGATATTCAATAACGGGAAGTTGGTGCTATTTGTTGTACGTGTGTGTCTTTTTAAGCCTCTAATGGCCAGCTGTGACAGCCTGACTCAGATTGTGTAGAAGGAGCTGTCAGCACAAATCCTGGCATCTCGAATCCAGACAACTGCTTGCCACCAGGCGAGGGTTTGTACTCGTGCCAGAATGGATTTTGAGAGACAAGCAAATAGGGCATTAATTCCGCCAAAGAAAAACGAAAAGCGGGGAGAGTTCAGGATCTTACACTTCAGATGATGGCTTTCCTGTCAACAGCTCATCATTTAGCTCATGAGCTATGAAGGGCACGGACATCAGATCCCTCTTGCCCTAAGCTGGCCCTGTCATGCGAAATGCTGGCAGGATCCGGAGACCACCCCTCCGTGTGAGATTGCTTGCCGAAATGAAAAGCCCAGCCATCTGTTAGGAGGCAAAGACATCCCTGTCAGCTGGTGCCTACAGCCTCGAATAGGTCCTTACGTGGCAAAAACTCTCAGAGCCACTTACTCTTTGGGGAGAAGCTGGTGCTGCCCAAAGGGTTTGCTAGGGTTTGCTGGGGGATTTTTGGCAGCTTCGCCAAGCGCCGAGCCCAGCAGCTGCCCACCCAGTCTGCCGCAGCCCTGGAGCAACACCTCAGCCCCGAGTGGAGCTGGGACACGGAATAGTTAAAAATATCTGCGCTGAAAGGCAGTGTCAGCCATGCAAGCGTGGGAAGTACCCTCCCGGTCTGGCTTTGCACAGCACACATGACCGCTGGGCAATGGGGGTTGGCGGGTTGACTCAAGGGCCCCAAAAGAGACGGAAAGCTCTTTGTGAAGCTCTCCAGAGAAACACTAGGCCTTCCCTTCCCTTACAAAGTCTGAGCTCATGTCAGCTCAAAGGCTTGGAAAATCACTATGAAATACAAGAGTTGGCTTTTGGGGTCTGCAAACTCTAACCCAAAGTTTTGAAGTCTAACTCCATTTGCACTGTGCTATCTCCCCCAAATTCTAGAGAAGTTTCACCAAAATAAACTGCAGAAGAAATGAAGCTCATCTATTTAAACCTACCAAAAAACCTCAGGCAAGCAAGCAAGCAAACAAAACTTTCTTTGAATTAAATCAACTCCAGAAAAAAATTAACTTAAAAAAATAACAGTATTTTCAGAGGAACTTTGAAGACCCCAAGCTTACACAGCCAAGTTCGCTCACTGCATTTTAAGTAAAAAGTCTCCTGTTTACAGAACACATTCTGCCAAGCGACGTATTTTTATTCCACTGAAAGACAAAACAAACTATAGGCTGCACTTTGTTTTGGAACACACCAGAGCTGGAGTCCCCCCGGCTACACGAAAGCGTCCCACGCTCATCTAGGCAAGAGCCGAGTGGCTCCCGAGCTGGCACCGCGCACGCTGGCTGACGGTCTCCCCCTGCTTTGGCAGGAAGGCAGATGCGAACAGATTAAGACAAGGGTAGAGAGGAGCAGTTTGATTCACGGGGTTCAGCCCGGTCTCTTGGCTCCTGCTTTAAACCGCTTTTCAGGTGCCTTCTTCACCTCGAGTCCGGTGCTGCCAGACTTGCTCATTAGCAACACTTCACTCTGCAAATATTTCAGATTTAGATTGACAGGACTGGTCCAGGAGAAATGCCAACAGAGCTGAGCTCTTTGTAAGCATAAACCTCCATCCCCGTTTGTTTGCATCTAACTTCTTCACAGTGGGTTATTTTTTTCAGTTCTAACTTTCTCTGCATTTGGCAGGGCTGTATAGCATTAATACTAACCACAGAGGATATATAGCATTAATACTAACCACTGGGGTCTGAAATTCATTCCCAAGATGAAAAAAATGTGTAAAACACAGGAGTGTCAATAAAATCTTCAACTTTAACTCTCTCTCCAAACTTATGTGATTGCTGAACACTGCCTCTACTGCCACACAAGACTCAGTCATCAATTATACTTATTGCTACCATTGAAGGTTTATTTTTTTGCATGAATCAAACAAAACATATTTTCTGACTCCCTTCCTGACTACTAACATCCCTGGTGTGAAAAGCATTTGTGGATATGGAGCAGAGAAACACAAGCCAGCTCCACGCGAGTCAGCTCAGGTCCAGAAAGATGCAAACTTTTACAAATCACTTGGATTTACTGACTTACTTTGCTATTAAATCAAAGGACTCCATGCTTCAGCCTTTATCTCACAGAGACGCGGTTGGAGGATATGGGAGTGCAGTTTTGGAGAAAACCAGTTAATTTCACATTACATTTAGGTGTGCTAAGATGCAGCTCAGTGCAGGCTGCAAAAACTACTCAAGGAGTGAAGTTGCTGAGCAGTTAATCCACGCCATGGCACTGTACTACTACAAATCTCTAAGTAACTGCAAGGACCAATGTAGAAATACAACCTTCAGTTAAATACAAACTTCCAGTTTGTAGTCCCCAAATTAACATGAACTTCTGTCTGCCAGGCAGAAGCTCTAACCAACGGGTTGTTGGCTCTTCTGGGAGCGTTCTCTCCTTTTCTCACAACTCAATAGAAAAATTCCTTTTTGGAGATGAAGATTTTTTTTCTAACAAAACTGCTGCATTCCCCAAAAGATTTTGGTGTCAGCAGGACTGTGCTCTCACCATTACCCTACCAGCTGGAGGTCGCTCCACTTGTATAAAATACTCCCTGCCATTCATCGCTGGCCATCTTGTCCATCACACTGCAAACCCTTTGGGTTTGTGCAATACCCTCCCAGCAGCATCCCACTCTTTGTCACTGCTAACTACCACAGTGATTTAAATTAAGTAAATACACAGCAGAAACGGAAATACTAGCAATAAAGATGTAAAAGGATTTTGCCCTCCTACTTTTCTTGCCACTACAAATTAATACCCATGTTTATTAAAAATAAACAAAGAGTTAAATTAAAGAAAGCAAGCTCTGACATGGTCTAGGTTGGCTCTTCTGTCACTCCCCTGAAGGAAATTTAAAGGAACTCAAACATGAAGGCTTAGCAGTAGGATTTTCTCGCCATTGCCACAATAAATATGTCTGTGGAAGGAGAAAAAAATAGTTGGAAAGAAGACCTGCTGCATTCCTGATGCTGAAGAAAAGCTTGTTTGTGCCCGATACATTGGAGAAGTTGTTCAAGAACAGTTCATCCATGTGAAAATACGACAGCTGTCATGCTGCCAAGGTCAGCCAGACCAGCGGCTATCCAGAAAGTAAGTGCCGGTTATACAACTTAAACCTGGCTAGGGCAAACAAAATTAACAAAATGCACCTTTTCTGAGGTATAAACGCATTTGATAGAAGAGGGTAACTTTAGACTCCTGGATGAAACACAGCAGTAAGTATATGTGGGTTTGCAAAATTAGTAAAACCAAAATACATGGGCCAGTGCAATAATTAGCAACCCTCCATCAGATAAAAGGATTGCATGCCCATTCTGTATGACATACCAA